ACTGCCAACATCCAAAAAGGAATAACCACTATTTATTCATCACTATTTACCTCCAAATGGGAATATCATTTACAAAATGAACATCATTCTTTATTAAAGAAGGCATAACAATTGCTATTGGGAGCATAAAATAATTTGGAAAATGCTTTCTGGGTAAATAAATAAAGTGAAATGTTGGGTAATTCTTTCAAAGACTTCTACAAAATCTGACTTATTTTTGCAACCAGTGGAGTTGTCCCTTGCTGGCCATTAGAACAATAATCACAATTTAGGCACAGACTTGGAGTTAGCCCCTATATAATAGTTTAAATTAAATTAAAATAACAGTTAATACCATAGTTTATCAGTTTAGTATGGGACATTGTACAACATAAATCCACTCTCACCATGAGTTCCAAATAGAAAACACTGCTTTATAAGATAATCTGTAATATTTCTTTATATTTCAATTATTCAGAGGCCATACAAAAAATGTAATTGACAACATGTATTACATTACATTATAAATCTATTGATCATAAATCTATCGATTAGATTTATGATTAGAAAATGATAAAAGTAGGGTAGACATGTGGAGATTATCCGACTGAACAAAACGTGATCCGTCTCTTAAATGTGTGTCAACAATTTTCCAAAATCCTATGGAGAAATTGCATTGCTTTTTTGTCGAGGGAACCGGAAGAAGCTTACTTCAGGGTTTTAGGACGCGTCACTGTGGCACTCCATTACATGTTACTTGTTAGACGCTTTTATCCAAAGCGACTTACATACTCAATACTGTGGGCAATCCCCACAGGAGCAATTTGGGGTGAAGTGTCTGCAGGGACACAACGACATGCTGACTGCAGTGGGGTTTAAACCTGTGCTCCCCTGTTCCGAACACCAACGCACTAGTCCACTGCGCCACAGCCTCCCTGTTTATTACCGTAACAAGACATGTATCTTTGTTTTGGATATCCCATGTTGACCTCCATCACTTTACATGTAGTAATCATGGAGCACTAGAGCTGGATGACGTTGATGTCCAGTGGTTTAAAGGACATTAGAAGATTTTTTATACAGTATAACTGCTTCGGTAGGGATGACTTTTTTCTTCCAGACAGCCCGAATAAACTAAGCTGGAAAGGTGGGATGAAAGTCAAACTAAAATGTTAACTCTAATGCTGAGCTCCCTCTGAGCAAATGGATCGACTAGAATGAATGAATGGATGAAAGAAACATAAAGTGACAGACTCAGCGGCTGACACAGTGATAAAGTGAACAAACAAACAGTCAGAGACAGAAAGAGTGACTAACAGGACGAGCGCAGAATTGATTTACCCTGATGGTTTGTTGGACAGGCGTCAAGACGGATGGATTGAGTCAGATGGGAACGCAGACAGACAGCCAACATAGTGCCAGAGAGACAGATAGACAGTGACACTGAACGCTATCCTGATAACACAGACCACAACACAGCGTACGCACATTTAGGCTCTGTGCCATGCTGTATCCGCACCGTATGCTGCCATATCAACTACCCAGCTGAAAGTCTTCATATCATGTCAGGAAGGATTCCTTTCCAAGACAGCAATTTCATAAACATCTGGTAAGTGCATTTTCTGATTGACTTGTTTTCTATGATAAGTTAACAAATATTTAAAACACAGGAAATGCAAATGAACAGAAGATAGAATTGTGGTTTCTTGGGAAGGCGTATACATTTCAGGACATTTTTAAGGACATCAAGTGTGTCATGTGTATGCATTTTAAGCTTTACACATTTTATTTATTGTCTAGTTTTCGTCCCAGATACAGGCACATTTTAAATCCTAAATATTGAAGAAGAAGAAGCAACAAGATGATGCACCGAAAATGGCCAGTCAAGCCTAAAAAAGTGGGGGAAATATAATAATTTCTTTTTTATTTCATGTATTTGTATGAGAGGTTATCTGTGTGGAGCTGTTAGGAGACTTTTTTAACCTGCTGTCTTTTGGCATTGCACTTTTGTGAAAACGACAACTGTCCCAGGTGTAAAAACACTTTTGCAAAAACGTAAATATTTAAAACAAATTAAATGAGAAAACGTCAATGTGATCTCAATGAAAGCATTTAAGTTGCATGCTGCTTTTAAAGGCATTTTCGTGTGTCATGTTTACATATTATATATGTCACGTTTTATTATCGCTTAGTTACATATGGAGACTTGTCTGCAGTTCTAAATATGTGGTTAACAGAGAAAACTATAAACAAAATTAATTGTTTCTGTTCAGGCAACTGTTACATTCAAAACAGAAAGTGTTTTACGGTTATGAAAAAGTCACAGTTTGAGTTAAATAGGTTATATTTGTTGTGAAAGTTAGTAACGTACATATGTTCAGTATTCAACATAATCCGGAGCTTAAGGATGCACGTTGGCAGTTTTAAACATGAATATGGCTGTAGTTTAGAGAGCTCATCAAATCAGGGGTCAGCAGCTCAATCCCACCTCCTGCAGCGACCTTGAGCAAGATACTCCAATTTGCTCACGTAGGCATTTCTAAGCTATTGAAGCGTAGGTAAGATGCTTTGAAAAAAACGTCAGCTTAATAATATGTAATGTAATGAATTCAAACCAAAATACTAGGTTTGAGAAAAGATTGTGGCTTGGGTAAAAACATATACTGTACCTCTGTTAATTACTTTAACAGTAATTAACAGTTTGAACACCAAATATGAACTGCTACCATCTAATTGGAAAGACAGGGTCCCGCGAAGTCAGACTGAAGCACTCCTTTGTGCACAAGTCAATCCTCACAGTAAATACAGAGGTACATCCCAGATAAAACGCATGCTAAAGGCTCTTTGAGGATGTTTCTCTCAGTGATTGTGATGTTATGTTTGTTTTTCTTGTATTGTATCTTGATATCTGTACATGTTGATGTTCAAATTTCAGACTTGATCTGGCCATTAAAGTATTATTGTATCGTATAGTAAGTTTAGCACGCAAGTTAAGAACTCAATGGTTTTTCCATAGAAGACAAACAACGGTCTCTTTGATGAAAGTCGTGTGATTGTTTGACATGTTCATCCACCCAGTGCTCCATGGCTCTTTTTACTGCTTCACATGGCTTCCGGAGAATTTGCCTAGACCACCTATGCTGTTTGGGGAAAAAATCCGTAGTGATAACATGCAAAATAACTACTGACGTGTTAATTAAACGCCATTTGGTTTTACCATGCAGAAAAAAGAGGTGAAAATAACAGAGTGATTGACAGATGCATTACAAATTGTAATCCCACAATGTGTAATAAAGGAACCCTCGTGTCTGTATATACAGATGTTTGGAAGCTTGCGGATGCTATGAGTCAGGTTTTTTCTGATGAATGGGAAACATGAGTGAGAGAGAGTATGGCAGCATATATGAGTGAGTGTGTTAGCGTGAAATGTGGGGGGAAGAGTGAGACACATGAATGAGCAAGTGTGAGAAACAGAGAAGAACAGCAATATACAGGCGGGGAGCGAGAAGCCGGCTCCATAAAGACGTGAGCAGAATGCTGCCGATGTGAGCAGGAGAGGTGATATATAGTTTAGTCAGTAGCAGCGGGTCACGACAAAGCCTTTAACAGTAATGTCCTGGGAGTCGCCTCGCCCAGGGGACCCGCGCTCCATTTTACAGCCAAGCGACTGAGACTGAGACGCCGCGGCATGACAGCTGGAGCAGTAAAGCCGGCCTCTAGTACCATCCATAACACCAAGGAGGCGTAGACGCCGCTCATACCGCCACAAAACACCCAGGCCCGAGGCCACACCGACAGCTGGCGAGTTAAGAGGGATGAAGGAAAAAAAAGGGGGCTTGGGAAATGGTAGGAAGTGGCGGTCGAGACAAAGGAGGGGAGAGAAGAAGAAAGGGCGAAGGAGATATATCTGCAGATTTAGACAGTCACAGAAAGAAAGGGTAGGAGCTAGAGATGATCTACATCGAAGGAGGGACTAGGGAACAAGAGAGAAGCAGTGATGGGGAGGAGGTGTTTATTTTTTCTTGCTGAAATTATTTCTCTTTTGCTTGACAAGTCAATTGATGAAGTCAGTATGTGTAGAGCAAACTTATACAAAATTCTCTCTCACATCAGCAAGGTTTTTATGTATCCCACATTTTAACAACATTGTGAGTTAATCTGCCAAAGTCAATGCAAATACCATTCTTCAATTCTTGAAGTTGTTTCATGTTGGTAAGCAGTAATGCTAAAATGTTGGTTGGAAAACCATCACACTATTTCATGAAAAGAGGAAATAACAGTTTTATGTACTAAAAAGTGCGCCAGTCAACCTAAAGAAAACCTTGAAAAAAAAAAAAAATTGGATGATTTTAAGTTTTTTTGCCTGCTTTTTGCTATTTTGTAAACATTTGATAAATTAAAGAAAAAAAACACTTTGTCGCCGAAGCAACTCTTAAAAACAACATTTGATTTGTCATTTTCTGCATTTCTGTGACTATTTTATGCGTGAATTAATTAGTTTTTGAATACGACAAAAGACTCATTTCAAGACGTCTCCTAAGGCTCTGGGAAACATCTAATGAGGAAAACAATGAATTGAAAATCGCAAAATTAATCAACAGTTAATGGAAATTGAGTGATTTACAGCAGAGAGACCCGGGAAATGTGCTTCCAGAACAAACAAAGCAGAAATATTAAAGGCAGAAAAAGGCTGATGGGAAAATGACTTCTAACAAAGCTGTCTTGTGAAAAAGCAACAACCTTTCTGTAAAAAAAAGAGCAGGGGAAATGGGGAGTTTGGTTTTAGAAATGAGAATAGGTAAAGACAGCACTATTGAAACAAAATAGAGGCAATCAATCATCACAACCAGGCCAACAAATCTACAGTAAGTCAACACAACAGGGTTTGAGACTGAAGCCTCTCAGGCAGTGAGCATAGACAGCGCTGAAGAGTTCTTGAGTCCTAACAAAAATCAATAAGGTATCACACTTATTGTTGTAGAATCACTGATGTGCAGTGCGATGGGCGGATACACACTCACTTTACTTCCAACACAAGAGCCAGGATCCCTGCAGCGATGGGAGCAGCGCTGGATGTTCCTGGAAAGTGTGTGACACAACTGCCCCCTACGCTGGTCACTGTGACCTGCAGGACAACACACACCATGGGTTAGAGGGTACACATACCTGCCTCCAAAACTGACATTCCAAAACAACTGTGAACATTAAAAGACATTTCTGTAAACACACCAGTTAGCGAAGAGGTATCTGTAACCAAAAAATAGAAGCTCATTTCTTATCAGTACATAGAGTATAAAGAGAGGTGAATGTGACCTTTTCTGTCAAACTCCTCCTCTAAAACTGAATTATTTGAGTGTTTAAAGAATCCAGCTTTATAGCAAATCAGGCCAGTAGAGTTCCCACACTGTAGCACCTGCTGTATCAGCAATTAGAACATGTTTTACAATTAAACAGTTATAATCATTTAAATAAAACAATAGCAACATGTGTCTGGTGTGACCACCTCATAATGTGAGGCTGAAAAGGGCAGACATCACAGAAGACAGAAGTGATATCAAACGGATAAAAATGTCCCTTTCTGTTTCTGTAGCCCTGGAGTTAGCGCTGTGTTTCCTCCTGTTCTTCACTGTTACCTCTGCCATCAACACCTCGGCTCCTTCTTCTCTATTTTCTCTCAGCCATTGCAGCCGCGCTTTAACTCCAATTAACACTCGTTTGCTTCTGTTTGTCTGCGAGTGCGTGTGTGTGTGTGTGTGTGTGTGTGTGTGTGTGTGTGTGTGTGTATGTGTGTGTGTGTGTGTGTGTGTGTGTGCCCAGCAGTCACCTAGGTCATTTGGCAGGCCTCTATAAATATCACACCAGTCGCTGCTCTTTAACAGGCTTCTCGCAGCTCACAGGAGCCAAAGAGCAGGTTTGCTGGCACACACACACATACACACACTCATTAATGATAAACACTGTTGTTAGATGTGTTAGGCGATACATGCACACTAACCAGAGGTAGGGGGCTTCCCACGCTGGCCCCTGTCAGAGTAACGGCCATCACACCGGGGCAGGGCTCGCCGAAGTGGGCGGGCTTCCCCGTTTGAGTGACAGCGCCAATGGCTATAGTGTAGATGGAGTTAACATAGCCGTCGGCGCCGCAGTGGTCGAGCTGCATCCCACCGTTACCTGACGCCCACACAAACACGCTGCCCTTCCCACCCCGGCCCTGACAACACAAACAGAAGGACGTCAGAGTTAAAGAGCATGAAGCGGATTCATAAAGAATGTTTCCATCTAGCGGTCAGCAGGGCCTTTCAAATGTCACACATGAATATATCACACTGTATATATTTACATAGGGAGGACAAATAGGACCTGCAGTTCAAACTAAAAGGGAATACATGAAATAAAAAGTATTTTTCTAGTTGGAAAAAAGATATTGATGCTAACTTTTTACCCTATTTATTCAAAAAACTGTTGTGGATAGTACTGGTTGTACAAAGTGGAGGATATCATATTCAGTTTTCTTTTGGTTTTTTTCCTGAGATTTCTGAATTGATTTAAAAAAAGTGGGAGCCGTACAATTTCTTATTTCAATGCACAGATTGCAGAAATTGAAAATGGAATCTAAAGTAAATTGACCTAAACACCCAAAATGAAAGTTCCTTTTTTTTCTGTTGATGAAATCAGGTAAAAAAGAGACTTACATTATCAGAACTAGCAACTCCCTTTGCAGTCCATTTACATGCACAAAAACCTATACAACCCACTACAGGAAAGGGAACAACCCAAAAAGCATAAAAGGAGCCGTTACAAGCACATGAAATTAGAGAGAAGTCCCATAGACTTGTCAAAAGATAATTTATATATAGCCACATTTAATCAGATTAATAATCATGATTCGTAAATCCCTCTCTAGTCTGAAACACCTGCAGGACAGTACTTTTTTTGTAAAGTCTTATAGGTGTGTATTTAAATCCCTCTTTATAATCCCTACACTTGACATTTTCTCCTTCCACTCTCAGCCCAACTGACAGCGTGAAGCTCTGCTCTCCGTCTGACAGACAGCAGTGTGAACGAGGAGATGAAAGCCGTGCCTCGTGAGTTCCTAGCCGAAGGGCCCGCGCTGTCAGGCGGTGGGGGCCGTCTATCTCGGCCCCGTCGTCCCGCGGGCCCCAGCTGCAGACGTAGATGTCGATGAAGTGCATGTTGAAGGTCAGGGCTGTGGCCTCCATTGCATCGGTGACAGAACCGGCCAACAAGCGGATACCTGGACGGATCCAAAAGGTCACAAAAAACATTCCTTTCAAAGATGTTCCGAAAGAGCATGTAGCATCCTGGTGCTTCTGCAGCACAGACACAGAGATTGTGTTTTGAAGTTGTAAAGTTAATGTTGTATGCCAACAAAAAGTTATAGAGTTTTGACACGATACTTGATTCGAGAAGGCGTCACACACACATTGTAAGCCCTCTTCGAGTAGCTGGCTCAGAGTGCAGTAGAGTCTCCTACCGTATTTTCTCAGTTGTCTGTGCCTATTGTATCTGTCTGATTCACATTGTTTCATATGTGTGTGTCTTCTTCGCTCTGAACTCGCTGTATGTATTCTATTATTGCCTGATTCTTATGGCTATACTTTATTTGTTATGCATTAACTCCACTGCTGGATGTTAACATGAATATATAAAGGGTTATTTTAAACTAGGTGATTTTTGTTTTTTGATATATATGTTTAAGCTTGATGGTCTAGGTCAGCGTAACTGATTATATTTGATTATTTAGAGATAATGATTTCGATTTTTCTGCTGGATTGTGAGTCACCACAATGTGCACAAAAACTTATATAACACACTGACTACAGCAAAGGGAAAACCCCAAAAAGCATAATAGGGCCACTTTAAACGTACTAATACTCATCCTGTGATCTATTATTAATATGCTAATAAAGATTATAGCCATTTTAACTAACCTTTCATAGCAATGGGGTACATTTGAATGACTGTGAAGTGTTCAAATTTCAGAATAAAACTTGAAATGTACATTTGATTTTGCGCTGAAGGAGATTCTTAAGTTTGTCTTGTGATCATATTGTAAAAACAAAAGGAACAAATATCTCTTCTTCTAGTTGTCTTATTATAATCTGCTTGCCATTCATCACAATGTATTCTAAAGGAACAGACAGCATATTTTGTGTGACAAACATACATCCATTCAAGCTGATTCATTCGGGCTTAAATGGTTTTCCTTCAGATGATTCATCACGTTCATTTAGCGCCTCCTTTCAAAACAACATCAAATCTAACAGAAGCATAGAAATTCACTGAGGCTCTCAGGTACCTTTCCCAAAGAGAGGCATACTGAGAGGTAAGGCTCACAGTGAGCATGCATCTTTCATTTGGGTCTTGGCCCTTCATCTCCTGTGTGTCAGACTCTGTTTAGGAGTCGGGACGGAATAGACACAGCAAGGTGAAATTAATACTAACTCTGGAAAGAGATTCCTGGTCTTGCCTCACAAACTGTCTTTTTTTGTAGATTCAGTCTCTGGCTAAAGGTCCCAGAGGTCAAATGTCAGAGTTCAACCAGGGGATTCCACCATTTCTACATCCTGATCAAAGTGAATGCTGCTGCTGCCTTCAGATCAGATCGCTGCGGGACATTTTCTTACTCAAACACGTCATGTACTCCTCATTAACTTGTGGTTTATGGCCCTCTTAGAGTATCACAAAAATGGCCTGTCTTGTGTGTTCGGTTCAGTCATCCCATCGCCGATGTTACAGCCAACACTAAAAAAGCCATTACTGGAGTTCCCACCAAAAAAAGAGCTGTTAAATAGGGTCAGCACGGCTCAATGGCAGCCAGTCACCGTGTAGTGGGTCTGTCACACGAACCCAAAACCATACATACACAGGAAATACATGGTATCACATACTCTTTTTAGAATGTAAAATTTCAACTTATAGACTTTAAAACAGATATATAGCTTTTACGCGTCGTTCTTCCAACCCAATTGAGATTCAAGCACGCCCATTTCAGCATGACAAAAACATCGATGCAGTGTCCGAGCGCTACGAATAAGGTGGCTACAGAGCATCTTATGTTTTTTTTTAACATTAAGATACATTCTAACTAAACAAACAGGGCACTAGCACTTTACTTTGACATTATTTCCAATGCAATACCAAACATTTTAACACATTTTTTCATTTGCTTTCTGAGGGAAAGTTCATTTACAAATCTGTCTCATGCTTTTTTATTTTCTTATTTATTTTCTTTATTATTTTTGCATCAACGTATAAAGCAAAAAGAGAAATTTGTTTGATTTTTTAAATATTGTTCATGTTAAGCATTTGTTGCTAATTTTCGTTTTTGCATTATCACACAATTGGGACTACTTAAACAAGTATTTTTGAAAATGCCATGTCAAAGCCTTGGCCAATCCACCCACAATGCACTGCCTCCCACTGTCTTGCTAAGGCTGTGTTGTTTGCTCACCTCCGATCCTGGCATTGAAAGCGATGCCCACACCGCAGTAGGAGTTATTGGCCTCCATGGCAACTTCCCCTGCACAGCGAGTACCATGACTGCAACAGAGAGGGATGAGATGTTAGACAGTGCAATTTACAAGACATACAAAAAATGAATTAAAAAAAACCAATAAATATAAAAATAGTGTAAGCTCAGATGTTAAATAGTCTTATGGCCTGTGGGATGAAATTGTCCCTTAGTCTGGCGGTTTTTGTCCTGATGTAGGAGAAAAACAAAGCACTTTATGAACCATAAAGAATGTAAACATGTCTCAGTAGAGGCACAAAATACACATATCAACCTTAACATAAGCATAATATGTCTTCTTTACCTCAAGTTTTAAAGTAAATAAGTTACTGCAACTCTTTATGACTGTTGTTATTGTATGGTGACAATGTAGTACTGATACAGCGTGCAGAGCAAAGGACAAGGAAATGCATTATTAAAAAAACAATTTGAAACGAGAAATAAGAAGAGATTTTGGCAAAGATTGTTTAAAATTAACAACATTTTAGTGACTGCTTTTTTGCTAACAATATTGAATGGTGACGTAGCCACAGTTAGTCTTTAAAGACGTCAATGCCATCTTATTATCATCTTGTTAGTTAAAAAGGTTGTTGATGAACATATTTCTTCTTAGTTTGTAGCATGTTAGCAACTAACATTAGACCAGATTATACAATCTAGTTCTTAAACTTTGTCTTGCGTCTTTGTGGCAAGACAGGATAAATGGTCAGTTCACTGACTTTCAAAAAAGAAAAAATGTGAACAACTCTCTTTACCTATTCTCCTCATCCCTGACTGGCATGGGATCATGAGAAAGGCCGTGTGAAGCAGCCAGGTCGAAACTGGCGAGGGCCTCCTGTAATCCAGACGGGAAACAAATAGAACACGGTGAAACCCTCGACAAAACAAAATATCAGAGTGACATGACAGGAAATGAAGAAATCCCCTGAAAAACTCTCGATACTGGCACTTGAATTAGTCCGTCAACAATTTTTCTCCTGACTGACAGCAATCACTGTCACTGAGGGGGAAGCCTGTGACTGTGACTGTGTGGTTTATGTGAGCCTCATAAAAGTGAGAGTATGTTTGAATGACTTGTTTGCCAGTGTATATAGGCATAATGCGAGGAGGATGTCTTGGCAGGATACCGTACAAGAGCAATTATGTATCTCTCTACAGCCAGGCTTATCCATGCCAGACAATCTGCTCTGACAAAGTACAAGTTGGCCTGTGTGCTTCAAACTGCCTATAGGATTATAAATGACAAGGCAGGCGCAAACAGCACTGCCACTCCACATATGCTTTATGGCTCGCCAGCGTAACACCAGCCTAACAGAATAAAACAGCTTCATCACTGTATGAACGTTTTATTGTCTCATGTTTTAAGTAATAGAGACGTTGGGCAGTTTAAGGGAAAGTCAATACACACATTTCGGTCCACTGAAATCCAAGCATAGTTGTGTAACCAAGCAGTTATTTTGGAAAACTAATATAAAAACCGTTGAATCAGAACTTACACTGCATACCCATCCTGCAAATCTGCTGTAAACAAGATCACTAGAATAATAAGATAAGGTTTTACTGCCTAGCTTAAATAACAAGTGAAAGTCGTTATTGTAAAAATAAATTCTTATATTTTAAGTTTACTTACAAAGTTTTTCTTTAGGTCCTTGTTTGTGTGATCCACACCTGAAAAAGACAAAAAGTAAAACATTTTAAATTACTCAATAATTACATTACAATCTTGATAGTGATACTGACATGTACAGTGGCCTAAAGGGGAAAACTTGCCACAACACTTGCATTAAGAAAAACGTGCTGCACTTTAAAAAACAATGCAAATTTAAATAAACAAACGTTGTAAAACACACGCAAATGAAGAATCACCTTCACTTTCTATCACGTTTCTCCTAATGTAAATGTTTTGGGCCGTTATAACGTGTTTGCACCTGTCGGACACCGTAGAGATGTAGAGATTTTAATATTTCCGTTCAGTAAGTGCACTTAATGTTTTAATATTTTCTGTTGAGGCATGTAAGAGCTTTTCAAGTCATTTGAACTTGCAGTGTGGTAGACAGGTTATTAAAACTTTGAAATGTTGAGTACCATACTAATTGGGGTAATTAATTTGCCAAAGTGTAACGGTGGAGTCTATTTTTCAAACCCAGATTGTCAAGATCAAAGCGTATGACAAGAGCGTATTGCACATGACTGATGGACGAGTGAGCGAACAAACAGGCACAGAATAATCCCTTCCAAAAATGTTATGAATGTATGAATTTTGGGTATTTTTATTTCTTATTATTCTTCACTTATTATTCTTCCACATCAGGTGCCTTTCTTTCTGTTGCCCCCTTGCCTTTCTCGCCCCCTCTTCTCACCCAAACCACCTCCTCCTCCTCCTCCATCTCTGCTGCATCAGGGCTCCTGTGGTCTCAGCTAGAGACAAACGAATGAGGGCCCCAGGAGGGCCGCGCCCGCTATGCCAGACATCACTCACTCTCTCTCTCTCTCTCTCAATCACTCACACTCACTCACACACACACACACACACACACACACACACACACACACACACACACACAGGACCTGCCAGCCTTTGTCCCACGCAAGCAGTGCCTCCGGGTTGTCATGGTAGCCTCCAGTGTGTTTTTGCCGTTGAGGCCTGATTGTGTTGAGCTCAGGCGGGATGGAGCTCTGGGTGGG